CCCCAACCCCCCCCACCCCTGAAAGACCAGTCAACGGATCGATCGGATATATGTTGCCGGCGGGGGCTAACCCCCCCCGTTGGCACTGCATGCTGCTACACCTGCTTAGACAGGGCAAACCTATACATCGTGTGATCCCGACCCGAACACGTGGGTGCACGCCTTGGGTGAAAACCGCTGGAAACTGTTGCCACCGTGGTCTGCGCCGCGTTACCGTGGTAGACCGTCTCGCATCTTTGAGCTCCTGTACCGTCGTGGTTCCCACGCGTGGAACGCTGCCGCGGCGTCGAATAGCCTGGGATTGGGGGATCGGTGTGACCGTGGTCCTTGCGGCGAAGACACAGCAACCCCCCAAGAAGAACAGGGGCAGCCAGGGTGCCGTAGGGAATTGAAAGAAGCGTTCTTTTGTGGTCACACATTGAACTGCGTTGCGTGCAGCTGGAGTCAGGTTTGGATGCCTTGTTGATGCTTCAGAAATTTTGTAATCATGCTTCTTTTGGAGCAAGGCAGAGTGCCAGTAATCCTCAGGTTGTCCACTGTTGAAATGTATTTTTTATATGAGTATGGATGAGGCAATGGCTCGCGCCCTGTGTTGGGGGCTTAAGCTCCTGCCAGGCGGAGCTTGTAGATGCACTGCTCGCGCGCTTTGTCCTCGAACATAAGGCATGGCCCGAACGGAAAAGGCTGTGGACTGACGACCTCGCCCCAGCTGGGTGGAGCGAGTTGACGACCTCTGGACCAGCCGTTTGGACCTCGGAGCAAGGGAAATAGACCAGTCTACCCAGCCAGGGCCAGGGTACCTATTAAATATGTGTATACATGATGTTCCCCTAGCCTTCCGTTCGATCATTACTAGAGTTCGCTTGAACTTTCTTTGTAGTCATGGTCTAAAATCCTTAGTAAAACAATGGTGGTTCGGTAAAGTGTAGAAACTATTGAATCAATGGCGGGCCAGGAATGAATCCTGGGAAAAAAGTGGTGCCGCGCAACCCCTTTTTACTAAAAGGAGATTGTACCCCAACCTCACTCAAACATCTCACCAAATTTCGCTCCAAATTTAGGACACGTCAGCGACCTTCAACATGTCTTAATCTGTTTGTCTTGTTGCAAAACACATGTGATTTTCTTCGCGAGAGGATGCCAGATACCAGCCACTTTTTATCGGAACCAGGCATGCGTTTGGGCTATAGCGGCTTTAGGCTTTGAAACTGTAATATAATATTACAAATATATAGTTGCCAGATGTTGCCAGCGTTTGAGTGGTTTGCCAGCGTTTAACTCAACTGTGGAGGCACCCACGTGGGGACTCTCAGTGACACCGGCGTTCGGTCGATCCACCCGGGGTGGCTGATCAGCTCGGCGCCCTGCCCTTCTTCGAGTGGGTCCTTTCCCCCGCCTTCTTCGGGTGGGTCCGAACTGCGCGACCGGGTCCAGGCTCGGCGCCCCCTGAGCCTTTTGGGAAGGAGTTTTTTCGATGTTTGTCCAACTTGCATCAGTCCAATCGTTTGGTCGTCTCGTCTCAGGGTGCGACCAAAAGCCAGCGCAATTCAAGCCAATTGGGGCCAAGAACCTCGAGCAACGACATAGCATCCGCAAAAAGACATGGACAACATGAACAAGAGCTTGAGAGATGAACAAAAGCTGGCGAAGATGGTGGGTGTTTGTCAAGTCGCTAAGCTCACACTGCGCCGATGACGACCGACCAGACCGAGGCTGCAAAGGCGGGAAAGAGCTGCCTACAAGGAGCCCTTTTTTCGCCCTTGCGGGGGACTGCGCGTTGGGGGGCAGTTGCCGTGGGACATGAACATCATGAACCTTTGTACGAGAAAAGGAAGAAAGGGAGAGAAAAGGAGTGAAAGATGATGAAAGTGTGATGTGCAGCTCGGTTCTTCAAGTTGCGTCGATCTAAAATGATCGATATATAAAACAGTTTGAACTTCATGTTCGATTTCGGGAAAATGATTGGTGTCACCTAGACTCTTTTGTTCGACATCTTTCCAGCTGATACGGGAGGCTTTCAAAACGGATCCCGTGGTGATCACTTGCTTCAAGCGACCGAGACCCCGTCCCAGTGACTGTCGGGAACCGCTATTGGCACGTTCGAACGGGGGTGCTGGGCGACCGAACGGAGGAAGGAGTAAGACGTCAGACTCGTCTGAAGTGGCAAGAGCCGGGGTGTCGGAACGCCTGGGTGGTCTCCCTGGAAAAAGGAAACAACTTCATATAGACACATTTAAGATATTTATATTAGATTAAGACATGTCATGGGAAGTTGATCAGCATTCCACAAATGAAAATGGCTTGGCGAGGAGATGCTGGAACAGGTCTGGGGGCCTACAGATGCAGTTTGGACCTTCTCTGCAGATAGCGTCCTATGGACGAAATGCGGGAACTCCAAACGCAAACTTCACAGGAAGGATTTGGAAGAAGGTAAGCCGTCTGGATGAAGGTGGAAGAACCTGAAGATGTGGAATCTCATGTGCCTGTGGATCCAACACCTCTCAGTGGTCGATTCCCTTCATTTGATTTCATTTGGACATTTCAGTCAAAGAGGGTCTGGTTTCTGACCCATTGCCATGTATGGAGCACGTAGGACCTTCCTAACACTTGTGCGTTTTCGAATGCCAGGTCTCCTGGACAGCTCTGGAGCCGAAGGCGGCCAAGGAAGCGGTCTCTTGGCTCCCGCAGGTTCTTCCGTTTTCATGAAAAGAGATGGGGATTGTTACTACCTTCATATACCTTCATCGTCCAGCATGGTCTTCTTGATGTCATCTTCCCCGTGTTTTGACTCTATTGCTCTTATATATTTTTTGGGGGGGACTCGTTATGATACTGGTTCCTTGGACTGATAACATGGTGTAACTGTTGATGGAAGGGTTCCACTACTTTTCTTCCCGACCAACAAAAACATGGCCTTTTCATGGTTTTTCCGTGCCTCACCCCACAAGCGGTACAATGCACGTACTCTGCACGCAGTACCCGGCGACCTTTGGGCAAAACAACTAAGATTTACCGTCAGCTGCATGTCTTTGGCACCCCAAACCACTGTCCAAGGCATGAAAAACCTCTGAGAGAAGTGGAGAGTGAGCAACCAGATGAGCTGATTGTGGACATTCTTCACTGCAGGAACCCTACCGGAATCGAGTTGAGCCGCTCCATTCTCCACGCGAAGAACTGCGGCCGGTAGCTGTGCGATGTCGCGTTCTGAGGCTTCTCTGCTCAGCAAACATTTCCTGGCACCTGTCAGCGCCAACGAGGCGCACCCGCCAAGAAAGGGAGCAAGTTCCGGTGTGTCCCACCTGCCCACGCGATCAGCGCAAGCCCTGAATCCTCTGGAGGGTTCGGACGAGCATCTCCAATCCCTCCGCTCACCGGCGCCATCCCTGAACTTCATTCCCTCCGGGATGGCGCCATTTTTCGGGGCCTTCGACCGAGGCTCTCCGCGCGTTCCGTCGGTGTCTTCACAGCATTCTCTGCGACGAGCGTGTCCTGGACATTGTGTGGAGCCTCGATGAGTCGGGCTCCGCCGGTGCGTCCGAAAGGCGTCCACCATGGTCCACCGGTGTTTGTTTGTTTTTGGAGACAGGAGAAGAGCCTGCAGAGTGGAGCATCCTGATCATTGTCTTACATCATGATCGTACTTATTTACACCATTTTACATCCTCAGAAATTATCATGGAAGTGGATGGCATGACCCCTTGCATGGCCATTTTCCAAATACTAAACAAGACTGTTGATGATGTTTCAACCTCCCCAGGACTGGAGATGTAAAATCCCAAAGATCTGCAAAGCCCTTCAGAGTGGGAACGCCCTTCTACTAAGTATCTAATATTATTTCTAATATGTACTTCCCACCATGTTGTCCTTGTTGTTTTCGCACCCCTTTTGATCAACGGGTAGCAGCCAACCTCTTTGAAAGAACCGGCTATATCGATTCGCTACTGAACCCATCGATCACTTCGATCCACCTTCCACCTCAGGTTGAGCATCAGATGACTTTGAACTTCAGTCGCCTTGGGAAGCCGACTGGAGAGCCACGTCGCGAATTGAGAGAAGCCTGAGGCTGGTGCAGTATTTCGGAGTTCGGTGTGGACTCGCCAGCGAGTTCGGGGGTTCTGCGGAATGAGAGAAGGCGACTTGAGAGGAGCTCCTTTCTGTTCTGGAATCATTCCGCAAATCCTCGCTGTACATACAGTAATTCAGATTCTTGCACCATATCAGGGTTGCTCCCTCAAGAAATCTGACGATATTCAATGAGGAGGCCCCCAACATTGAGACAAAAAGGACAGAGACTCACAAGGGAGCAGCCCCGACTTCGGTGAGTCACAAAAGGAAAATGCAGCGGGTCTCCAAACGGAGTGAGGGGAGGAGATTACCTCTCTTTTTTTTTGGAGTGAGGGAAGGAGACATCCGACCTCATGAGAATGTCATGGGCATTGAAGAGATGACCCGAAGATCCATGCTTTCGACCGTGAACGAAGTGATTTGTGTGAACTCACAGGCGTATGCGAATGCATGGCGTTTGCAGTACCTGAAGTGGTCGGCAGAGGGACCAGTGGTTTGAGAGTAGATGGCACGATGTCCCCAAGATGTCCCCACATAAAAAAACACTGACATTGGGGATTGTGCCATCTACTCTGAAAAGCGCTCTTTGGAAATTGGGTCCATGTACTTCTGTGCCATCCAACCGCTCTTTGGCAACGAGTAGATGTGATGCACATAGCACCAGAATGCGACTCCAGACGCACGACAAACTCTTTCGACGTCTCAAGGGAACAGCGGACCACGGGGAACAGCGGACCACGGATCTGAATACATCTGAATACCCTTTAAAGTCATCAAAAGATATGCGTTCGAAAGATAAAACCTGGACATCTTCAGCCTGGGGGCTGCCTTTGTGTTTTGGTTTTTCATGCACCGCTTGGCTCCCTTGACTCACACGAAATGGTGCACCGCCCTTGGCTCCCTGAGTACACGCAGCTCAAACGAGCCGCCAGCAGGCCAGCCCCAGGGATGCTGCCAACGCCTTGGATGCCTTGGGCCGCTTGCGCCGCTGGGCTAGCCGATGGGCGTCGAGTGACTCCGTGGAGTCGCTCCGTCGAGTCGGCAGGTCGCTTTCAGATGGTCCTCCCACAGTCAACGTCGGGTTTTTGGGGAGGGGGGAAGACCGAGCCACAGAGAAAGACGAAAGAAGTGTGAAGTTGAGAGGTGTTTCCGTTACGAAGCAACTGAAGTCTGTGAAGCATTGCGAAGCCAAGAGGAATCACGAACCCGTCCCAAAAGCATGACGTCCAACGAAATGGTGATAGCTTGTCGAATAAGTTACAGCCAAGACAGGAGATGTTCTTGCAACATTTCGGCCAACAATTTGCGCATGGTTGGTGCGCAGATAGACCAGACAATTGATACGTAATTGGAGGCAGTAGCAGATACACTATGGCAGTTGGAAAGGCCTTTCAATCTTTGAAGGCTTTAGATCTCTGACTCAGTGACAAGCACGTTGAATAAGCCGTGATAGATTGAGATACTGTATCTGTTACACAGTGGTTTCAGAGTACATAGTTGGGACAATGTGACAATCCCCAAAGAAACCACTGAAACCACTGTGGTTGGCAAATCTGAAACCATTAACACGGATACATGTTCCACAAGCTGAAAACCATATAATAAGAGTACTCAATGAAGCTTCGAGCTTTGTACGAGCGGCTCGCTCATGTTCGAGTTGACAGGGTCCCAAGGTGTAAGTTTGAACGGCCTAGGCAATCTGGTTTCGAAGTCGCAGGCGATCTCTGATCATTTCAACTTCCAGTCTCTTTTTCACTCGTTTTTTGTTTGAACAAACATAGATTTTTGCTTTTGAACGGTTTCTTTTTTCACACCATGGTTTTTCCTCTGCGCGGCAGCTGAACCGACATGCGACACTGAGGCCTCGAACACTATGAGCTTTGTGAAGCGTTCGCCCAGTGACCCAACTTGTTCTGTCCCATTACCCATAACAGTCGGTTTTCACAAGAAACATTGGTGTTTGTGAACAAGGCCTGCAACCAGGCCCCAGCATCATCCACTGGGCCCTGGCAATGGGATATACCCAAAATCCGAGTTACCCTCCTCAGAATACCAGGCTCAAATCTTCAAAGACTATATTTGTGTGAAAGTCCTATGGATAAACCACTATAGCCTATACTTGAGATTTGAGCCAAGAGTCTTGGAGCGTATAGTGCACCAGTGCACCACCACATGAAACACACACCGTATGACTCTGTATGAACTACCGACATTTTACGTGTCACTGCTCAAGTCTGCTGGGTACAGAGGATGCTCTTGTCATGGCCAGTGCTGGCCTTCTGAAGGAACCACATAGAACCATATAGAACTCAAACCAAGGGCTCCACGCACAAAACTGATCCACAATCCCATTGTTTTGGCAGCTCCCATGTCAATCTTCGTCATTTCCGGGGACACGAATGGGCATTGGGGAGAACTTCACGGACATCATGGCGGATTTGTTGTCGATCTCTCTTTTTTTTGATGCTATCGCGGCCACCGGTTTTTGTCGGTGCTTTCGACCAGCCTAGGACGCTCCGCTGGACCCGCTGGACTGGACCCCTCGGAGGTATTTGCCGAAGCACTTGGACCAGTTTGGTCCCAAAGATGTGGTCGGCGTGTGTACAGCTTTGGGGCGACTGAAGGAGCGGCTGATGCCGGCTGACGCCGCTCCGGCCACGCGCGCGAAACTTGCCGCGACGCGGCTGACCACATGGCAGTGCTGCGATCACATGGCATTGGTGGATGCATCTGGTACAATCCCAGCCAAAGACCAAGCCTGTGACCTTTGCCACCTTTAAAAGTAATTAGTACACTCTTCATCAATAACCCCTCCATTCGGATTGAAGCACGTCTTCACGTGGGGGAGGTTCACTTCTTTTCATCATCAAGTGGATCAAATACGGAACCGCGCCGCTTCGGTGCCGAACGCGCGCTCGCGAGCAGGAGCAGGATGAAGCGTCGCTGCTCGCGATGGCGGGGCCCGGAGACCCGGGAGGGTGAGGCGCAGGTGGGGTGAGGGGAGCCGTTTTTGTCCGTGCGCGCGTCCGAGGGGAGCGAGGGGAGCGGAGCACATTTTGGGATGCGCACGTGTGTGTTGGTTTTCAGAGGTTTTGACTCTGTCTGAGATGCCTTAGGTTAGGGAAATGGATATGGGGAGAGGACCCAGCCCAAAGCGGTTTTCATGTCCTTCCCATGCTTGCCAAGTGAGAAGAGTTCAGTTGGAACCAGAAAAGGATGAAAAGGAATGTGGAAGTGGAACATGACATAGACCACTTGTCTTTATAGGGCTTCTGCTCAGCTTCCATGATGGTCGGAGCGTATTGGTCTCCACAGCTCTTCAAGACATGAAATTGGATTTTCACGATCGCAGGGGCGCAGTTTCACTATGTTTCACTCCTCCTCAGTTTGCGCAGCAATTCCTGTTGGGTCATTGTTCACAACCATGGCATACTGGCAGAGCCACCTCTTCTGGCACCAGCCTCAGGTTGATCTCCATGGAGATTCGGCACTATTCCATCCGCCGGGGTTCCTGTAAATGGACCTTCTTCCGCTGACGCGACCGGAAAAAGACCGGATCTAGATCTGCTTCCGTGAACGCACACTGAAGAGAAATCCTTCAACCTCTCTTAGTTGGTCAATCCTTTGAGCTGCCGTCTATTTCAACCATGTCCAACCTGTTTCAACAGGATTCGACATGTGTCAATTCCATTCTCGAACCCTTTCTTTGCCGCCCCAGCCAGCTGGGTGCAGCTGTCGGTCGGAGGAATCAACGGCCCAACAACACGCCGGTTCTGGGTGCCGGGCGCGGGGAGTTGGGGTTTCGGAGGTCAACTGGCCGAGATCTTGACGGCCTTTGCGCGCTTGCGCGTCCGAGAGGCGAGTGGATGAGCAGTAGTCGTCTATTATAGGACACAGTAGACGTAGACAAAAGATGGGTGAAGTGCTCAATATTAAAGACCTAGGCATTTCGCCTATATACATATGCACCATGTACTCTGCAGATGCAGTATATATACTATATATAGATCGATATTGGTTTTAGTTTTGTTCTTTTGAGCCCCAGCCCGATTATACAGTATCAAGTTGCCCACTATAATACGCAGGGCATAGTATTGAGTGGAAGAGTGTGGAAGACTGTAAAGGATCAAGTCCTCACTCCCGGAAAGCATGTTCCGCCGTTCCGCCTGCATGAGTTGTGAGGGCCCGTTTGGTGGTTGTTTGTTCCACCTCATTTCAGGGAAACCCAGCAGAGCCCGCCATGCCATTCGCTATCCAAGCAGGTGTTTGGGCCTCAAAGCTGTTTGACAGTCAATTTGCAAGGTCACAGGTCACTGAAGCGTTCGATCCGCTCTCTGCATTAAGATCCACAAGTTGCCGACTTACATGTCTACGCACTACAACAGAAACACATTGACCGTGCAGGGGTTGTGAGGACAAGACAAGACATCGCAGAAAACAAGACAGCGCACACTTAGCACTTTCTGGTTACTCAGAAGTACAACAAAGTTAAGCAGGTCTGCTGTATTTCTTCATTTTCTTTTCTGTCATGGCTCCGCTTGACTGGGATAAGGCCAGGGTCTGGTAGCAGCAATGGATATAAACATGGTCTTGACTTTATGATTCTGGACCATAAAATGCGTGTTGAATGAGAATCAGCAGCTGTTTGCTGTTTCAAATCCATTTGGACGGTGCAATTCTGGATCCATCGTCCCACACGTGTGCGCTCAATCCGGCGCTGATCCTTAGTCCCACATATTGCTTATTGGACGGAAGGACCGGGAAGGACGCGAGGGCTTTTGATCGCCTTTTGATGGACCTTCGAAAACAGAATCGCTGCTTTGTCAGCGACAAGCACCAGCACAATCGCCTCAGAGGTACACCATTTGGCCAACCTGTTCAGACGCCCAGAGGGCCATGCTATTATCCATTCACCCAGAGGCGACCCGAACTAGGCCCTGAATCCGAACGGGTCAGGGGTAGAACGGGGGTCGAAGCAATCCATCCCTACCCTACCGGATCAAGGACCCGACCCGTTCGGTGCAGGTTTGGTTCGGGTCCAAGGGCCCCCTGCGGAACCTGCAGGGTCAGGTCACCCTCCACTTCGGAGGGTCCAATGATCCTTAGGGTAGGGACAGTTGGGCTGTTTTCACGGAGCGTTTGGGCAGACCGGTTCAGCTCGCGCACCTTCTACTCACCGCGCGGTTCCCACAGCTTCGTGCGGGAACCCCGCCCCCCCGTCCTTCCGTGCTTTCGTGCGGTGCTCCGTTTGGGAGGCGGGCGAAGTGGTGGACCCGGCGGACTTCGAAGATGAGGAGGACTCCACGGCGCGAGAGGTGGGGGACGACAGGGGACGGAGGCGGTGGGGCGGTGGGAGGGTGGCGCCGTCTTCGTCCCGAAAGTCTTCGGAACCGCGAGAGGGTGGCCGTGGCGCCTGGTCTTGGAGTGGTTCATCCGAATCATGTGAGGCCGCGGAGAACGTTTCAGAGGCCCAAGATGTCGAGATCTCGGTGCCATGACCGTCCCTGGTGAGATGGGTTCTTAAAAACCTGATCACCCTAGGGATCCACTGCCACCTTCTCAGAAAGTACGACTGGGCCCTGGCGCCAGTCTCCAATCACCGTACCTGACCAGGTACGACTGGATCCCGGATGGGACACTAAATGGATGACAGCTTTGCTTCGCATCGGGCGGTCGTTTGGCCCACCCACTCGGGCTCCGCTCCGAGTGGGAAAGCCCCCATCAGGTGCTGGACATGGCCTTCAGCAAGATGGACCCTAAGAAGAAGCAAGGATATGTGGAGCAGTTGCAAAAGGTCCAGTTGGCCGCTCGTTTGATCTTCAAGACACTGAATGGACTCCATGTGAACATATTGTGAACACTCCAACCATCATGAAAGTAGATGGCATGGCCGCATGACCCCTGGAAAGACCCATGTGTTATCTGTGTAATTCCTCTAATGCCAAACAGCTGGTGCCATCCGCGACAGCCCAACACCTCAAAAACCACCGGCGGACCGACGGACCTGTCACCGACGGACGACCCCAGGCGCCAGAGAAGCGAGGTCCTCCCATCCCGCAGGCAGCTGCCAAAACGGTGCCGTGAAAGAAAACGGGGGAACCTGCCCAGTTCGAGTGGAGAACGCGCCGGACAGCTGACAGACACCCCAGTGCTTTGACCATGAAGAGATGTTCGAGATGGCGCTGTTCTTCCAAGGGTTGAACTGGGTGTCACTGGATCGACTCTGGTACGTAGTTCTTGAGTTGACCACCCCCAAACGAGAGAGCAGTTCTTGGGCCAACGTAGCCGCCATCGTTGGGTGGGGGAGGCGCCACCATGGCCACCTGTGGGAACCTGACATTTGGTGACCCAAAAAGTCTTTGAACATCCTAGAACCCCGTTGACCCATGTTGACCCCTGCTTTCATAGGAAAAAAACATATTTAGGTGGTTCAAAATGGAGGTCACTCAGGTTCGATTCTAGATTATATAATGTATATAGAAGATCTGCTTGAAGGGTTGCGACAGGGGGTGACCTTGTCAAAGCGTGTCAAAACATCGTCTTGAGTTGAGTTGACCCTTTTTTGCCTGCCTGAATCCACAGCCGGCGCTTCAAAGCCCCACCAGAGTAACGAAGCACAGCAAAACAAACCAAAGGCAAACCTTTCCCTTGCCCAAACAAAGATCGTCTTAGACTAGACTCTTAGACTTGACCCTGTTTTTTAAAAAGGGTCCTTGAACATGTCCAACGTCCGGTGCTCCTTGACTGTTAGCTCATTTTGCCCCTAGCAAAGAGTCGAAGACATGACTGTCGGTGCGGGCGCTCTGGCCTGTCGGTGGCGCAGGCAAGAGAGGAGGAGCTCTTGGCCAAGGGCTCCAAGGCGCCAGTTCCACACTGGAGGGTGGGAGCTGGGAGTTGGGGGTGTCGAGGGAATCGAAGCAAGAAGTAGCACCCGGCCGCGATACAGCTGTGCATTTTGGGTCTCCCTTCTGCAAGTAAAATGGCAAGGTAGCATAACCAGGTAGCAAGAAGTGTAAGAGGCCTTGACCTCAAGACATATATAATGTTTGGCATCATCATAGGAAGTGGATGGCACCACCACCTGTTTGGCATTCGGAAAATGGTCATGCAAGGGGCCATGCCATCGACTTCCATGATTGTTCCAGCGAGTGAGTATATATACTGACTGGTATATATATGTAGTATATATATACTGGTACTTATACTGGTATATATATATATACATATACTCAGCATATATATTCTTTTACTGCTACCCGGAGCGAGATCAACCCGTCGCGTTCATGGTTGTAATAAGTGAGACTGCTGGAAACACAATATTTTACTATGCAAAATGTCTACCTTTCCATCCATGAAACCAGCCAAAAGGCAGAAATAGTTGGAAGATCTAGGTATGTACGCATGTCATATGTTGATACATCGTGCTAACGAGGGATCATCCCAAATGAGTTTGAGCGGTTTTTGGTGCGAGTGCTACAGGCTACGGAGATGAGCTCCTTTGACCGGTGGCATGTTTGGGAGCAACGTGAAGTTTGGACATCGTTTCATCATCTCGCTTTTGAGGTAACATGTAGACACTCGATTTTTGAACCCCCGCCAAGCCTGAAGATGTGCGAAACGAATCTGGAAAATGGGGACCCTGATGAGGGAGTTCTACAGCAGCTGGAGGGGTCTCGGTTGTTCCGTCGACCACAATGGCCTAGGCCACACAAGAGGAGATCGAGGCCGAACGGAATCATGCAGCTCTTGAGAGATCTGGTACCAGCTGCTGTTGAGCACATTCTGCGTTCAAGTCCTGATATAGTAACTAAACTCCTGATGTAGTAACTAAACCCTGCGATCTGGCCCTACATCCAGCCACCAACACCTTCAAAGCTCATGCCATCAAACCGTGCCCCGTTTGAAGCCAGCAGGAACTCCTCGATCTCCGCCGGCAGCGCTGGGGCAACGCGGCCGGCGGCAGGAAGGGCACCGGGAGCTGCAGAGCCTGTGGAACAGCCGCGGCGCAGCCATTTCAGTGGCTTGGGCGGAGAGTAGCAAGACATAGAGGCTTGAAATAGGCTTGGGGCACCATACAGACACAGGAATTGTTTTTGAATTAGTGGAAGAATCAGTGAGCAGGAAGATGGCCAAGATAATATAGTAAATATGCATTTCAGCAATGTAATTTGTAAATTACTTCACTTTGAGTGATCCCCACCATGACATTTCCATCCATTGTTGTCATGCCATGGTGAGGAGCATCTTGCCATGGTCGTGAGTTCTGTGGTTTTCAATTGTGCTTGTGTGTCCTCGGGTTTGGGATCGTTACTTTAGTAGGGAGTTCGCGTCGGGGTGTCGCCAGGGTCTCCAGTTTGCATCCAAAAGTGCTACCCTGTGACCACCTGTCACGCAAAACGCCACACACACACACAGGTAATCACATAATTGTATTGCTGTAGTTGTGTGTTTGTGGTTGCGTCTTTATAGTTGTGTTTGAGTGTTGTGGCTGTGTGTTGTGGCTGTGAGCTGTGGTTGTGTGTTGTGGTTCTGTGTCATGTTTGAGTGTTGTGGTTGTGGTTTGTGGCTGCGTGCTGTGGTTGTGTGTTGTGGTTGTGTGTTGTGGTTCTGTGCTGTGTTTCTGTGCTGTGTTTGTGGTTGTGTTGTGGTTGTGTGTTGTGGCTGTGTGTCAGTGATTGTGGGTTTGTTTGTGCTTTTGTGTTTGTGGTTGTGTGTTTGTGGTTGTGTGCTTGTGGTTGAGTGCTTGTGGTTGAGTGTTTGTGGTTGAGTGTTTGTGGTTGAGTGTTTGGTGTTGAGTGTTTGCGGTTGTGTGTTGCGGTTGTGTGTTGTGCTTGTGTTTGTGACTGTGTGTTTGTTCG